GCACCAGGATTTCACACAGCAGGGGTTGGACGGCATGCATCTCACATGCGTGAAAGTGCCGTAGGTCACGTTAAGAAGGAGCCTGGTTCTCAGCCCACTAGTCCGCCACTCCACAAAAGCACTCACACAACTTGGCAGACTGCGTGGACTGAGATGGGACGTCAGTCAGCAGCCTTCCAAGCACCGTGATGATAGTCTCAGACTTGGATCACTCATGCAGCAGAAGAGCCGCATGGAGACGGAACCGAGACGCACACTTCCCACTTGAGTGGGAGGTGGCAGTTGGATGACTGTGGTGGGTGGCGTTGTTGTGTGATGTAGGCGGGGGAATATGTGATATGGTGCAGCCGGCGGTTTTCTACTTCAGGTTTTCGTGAATGAAAATGTAGCCTAGTAGGCCCATGCGGTGGGTGAATGTGAGGGTGCAGTGAGGGTAGTTGAGGCAGATGCAGCGACTGTATGTTGGTGTTTCAGGCGCTATTTCGCCAGTATCTGTGCGATGGATTCGAAAGTGACCGACCAGGCCGATGTGTGAGGTGAAGGTGCGGCCGCAATGAAGACAGGTATGGATCGAGTCCACATCGCTGGCGTTGATTGTGTGGCGGTTGATGTTTGTCGGTGTGTCAGGACTGTGTGCATTGGTGATGAGTACAGGAGCCGCCGTAGCGGATGTTGAGGCAATGGAGGAGGATGGTTATGGGGGTCCGGGTGTACGGTCGGTGTTGATTGTCGGCGTGGGGGATGAAGCAGAGTTGGGCGAGTAGATAGCAGCTGGTGTAGTCCGAATGCTGCAGTTGATACAAGGCCGATTGGTGCCCGGAACGTCCGCTGGCAGCGTAGGCAGGTCGGGACTGGTTGAGCGTTGGCGTTGCGAGGTGGGTGCAGTTGGGATTTGCGACCCTCGCCTTTGGCTTTGCCGGCAGTGACGCGGTTGGTTTCGTAGATCGTTTCGCCTGTCTTCACCTTCCTCCTACAGGTCGGTCGGTCTTGGGCGAGGTCTTCCCAGTCGGGTTGATCTGCAGACGCTTCAGGGAAGTTTTCAAGGCGTCCTTGTATCGACGGACCTAGCCTCCTTGTCGACAGGAACCCGTGGCGATATCACCGTAGAAAAGTCGTTTGGGTAGCCACTCGTCGTCTGGGTGGCCGTTTCAACGCAGTTGCAGCTGTCTCAGCATGGCGTAGATGCTGAGGATTCCCGTCTGCTCCAGTACATCCATGTCCGGGATCCGGTCCTGCCACCTCAGCTTCAGTATCTGTCAAAGACAACTGAGGTGGAAGTGATTGAGTCTCCGCGCTTGCGTCTTGTAGACCGTTCAGGTCTCCTCTCTATACGGCAGCGTCAGCAGGATGACTACCTTGTATATGTTCAGTTTGGTGTTAAGGTGGAGACCGTGACGATTCCACGCCGTGCTTTGCAGATGGCCGAAGGCTTGGCTGGCTTTGGAGATCCGCCGGATCACTTCATTGTCGACTTTGGTGCTACGAGAGAGGGTACTTTCCAGGTAGGCGAAGTTGTCCACGATTTGCAGCTTGGCGCCATTCACGTTGATTTGGGGTGCAACGTAGGCAGCGTCGGGTGGCGGTTGGTGCATAACCACCGTCTTCTCCGTGTTGATGACCAGGAAGAATTTGCCGCAGGCGGCAAAGAAGAGATCCATGCTCCGTTGCGTGTCTCCTTCAGTAGTTGCATTGAGGACGCAGTGGTCGGCGAAGAGGATTTCATGGATCCTCGTTGTGGATACACGCGACTGAAAGTGCATTCGTCGGTGGTTGAGGAGTTGGCCGTCCGTCCTCTGGGCGATGCTGATCCCGAGGTGTTCGTCATGGTAGGCGTCCATCAGCATGGCAGAGAACATGAGACTGAAGAAGGTAGGTGCGAGGACGCAGCCCTGCTTCACTCCGTTGGCCACTACAAATGCTTCTGAGACAGCTCCATTATCTGTGACTCGCATCATCACGCCATCGTGGAGCTGACGTACCTTCTAAATAAATCGTTCGGGACAGCCGAATTTCTGCATGATTTTCCGCAGTCCTTCGTGATTCACCGTGTCTAAGGCGTTCATCAGATCCACGGATAGAGTAGAGGTGGATATTCATATCCTGACACTTATCCTGTAGTTAACGGGCGGCGAAGATCATGTCGGTGGTTTCACGATGACGGCGGAAACCGCAGTGACTTTCTGGCAGGAGACCTTGTTCCAGATTGTTGTTCAGGCGGTTGAGAAGGATGCGAGCGAAGATCTTCCCAGCGATGTTGAGCGGGGAGATGCCTCTGTGGTTGTCGCCGATTTGGCGGTTCCCTTCGCGTTTGTAGAGGTGGACGATTGTGGTGTCCATGAAGTCTTGAGGAACTTCTCCTTGACACCACATCTCCTGGGAGAGCGCCGTCAGGTGATCCATGGGTTGGGGGGCACCGTGCTTGTAGATCTCAGCAGGGATCGTGTCCGATCCGGGCGCTTTTCCGTTGTAGAGCTGCTGCACGACACTAATGGTTTCGTAGAGGGAGGGCGGAAGGTCGAGGTCGGCGGTGGTCTCCATTTGAGGCAGACGGGCGATGACAGCGTCGGAGATGGTGGATGTACGGTTGAGGACGCTTCTGAAGTGTTCGGCCCATCGCTGAAGAATTTGTGTCTTTTTGGTGAATAGCGTACTGCCGTCGGCGCAGAGAAGAGGAACAGTTGCTTTGGTTGTGAAACCGTAGACAGTCGTGATCGCAGATATATTCTTCCATTCGTTACGCTCCGCGTAACCTTGGATCTCCTTGACCTTGCGAGCCGCCCACACCTCCTGCATCTCCCGCAACAGCTGTTGCACGTGGCGACGGCTACAGTAGAAGGGTGCTTTGTTGTCGTCGGTCGAACGATTGATGTGGGCTTTGTGCAGGTGGTTCTCGGCGAGCGGGTTGCTGATGACGGCGTCGTTGTCATTGAACCGGTACTGATGTTGGCGTCGTGCGTGACCCGAGGACAGCCAGGGCCGTCGACCGGACTGTGTCCCGCTGTTGACACCATCGGTTCTCCACGGAGGCGTTCTCGTCAGCGGTGGCGGCGGCGACTGGAAGGTTGGTAAGTCGTTGAGTTAGTTCATTGCTGAAATGGGGATGGTAAACAGGCAAAGACAGCAAAGCAATATTCAGCCTACCTGGTGGTCGCCTGCCTTGAGGTCTCCTGCGAGGCTGTAGGTGAATCCGCATCTTGGAGATGTCGAGACAATGGCCGATCTACCCGTCGGCACCCGGACTGACCGTCCAAGTGCGCCACACGAGACCCGGCTCCCATTTAGTGTACCAGGACATACCAAGGGACATGCCTTTCGCCTAAGTGAGATCTGCATGCTATGGCGTGCGATATGACGTCCGGCATACTGGCACTGAAAAGTTGGACTGCTTGCTTGCTGTAATAGTGATGTGTGGCGTGTTGTGGGGAGATGTCGGGCACCCGTGT